GAGAACCCAGGAGTCCTGGCTCCCAGCCCCCCCTGCTCTAACCACTAGACCCCACTCCACTCCCAGAGCCGGGGTTAGAACCCAGGAGTCCTGGCTCCCACTCCCCAGGTAAAGAACCTTGTAAATCAGAAGCAGGTATAAAGCCGCTCCCTCGGGCTGGGAATCCAGCTGTTTCGGCAGTGGCAGAGTTGTCTCCCGGTGTGACACTGAGCCGCCGTCCGAGGTGTGAAATCCAGTGCCAGTCAGTGCCGTGCAATCACACAGGACGTAGCCAGCAGACCGTCACTGTCTCCTGTGCGGCCGCCACCGGTCAGCGTGCTTTGCTGCACGCGTGAGGCTCCGACCCCTGGGAGCAGAGAGGCTGCATTTAACCTGGAACCAGCAGAGCCCTCCGGGAGGCGGGATGGGGAGGAATTGGGCTCTTCCGTTTGCACAGGAGTCTCTTTGTATTCTGGTGTTTGCACTGACAGGCCCCAAGCCCCCGGCCTCAGAAATACGATTGACAACCTGGGAGTTCACATGATGAACCGTGTGTCTTGCAGCTCCAGCAATGCAGGGCCTTGGCCCGCCGTCCGTACGGCAGTGCCGCCTCCCCAGACCCTTCAAAGGGCGGCATCCTTCAGTACCTCTGCAACCGGTTCTATGACGTCGAATACCTCGTCGGCTGGAGCGAGACGCTTCGCTACAGAAACCTGCGAAGGAAGAACGCGTACGTACAGCCCGCGTCTCCGTGTTCCCAACCGAGAATGGGCCGGGGGGTGGGAGGGGAGAGGGATGGCTAGAACTTGATCCAGCAACTGACTTCTTGGAAAAGAGAAACTTCTGAGCGTCTGATGATTGTAAATGGGACGGTTATGGAAGCCAAGAACTGCCGGGTACCTACGGGGGGACGTGCAGAACCAACCGCTCATGGGAGAGCTAGAGCGGAGCTAGGTGGGGAATTTTTTGGTATTTTTTTTGAGTGAAAAATGCCAATTTTTTTATTTTTTAACTGAAGCTGTTCATGGGAAAGGGTCAGTTTTGATGAATTTCCTAGCAGGACAAAAATGCTGGAAAAACCTTTTGAATTGGCAAGTTTCATTTTTTTCGTTTGGAAGCAACTTTTTGGTCTAGAAATGTAACTTAATTGATACTAAAAGAAAAGTAAAAAGGTCAAAATTGAAGCAAAATGTCTCTGACGTAAGAGAACGTTTCCACCGAGCCAAACTGCATGTTTCTGTTCGGTTTGTCTGCTCGCGAAAGTGTTGGAGATTTTGCCCTTTTGTCTCGATTCTGTATGAGAAACGTTTTCCAGATCTCAAAAATTCTCCCAGGGCCTGAAAACCATCCCTGCCCGGCCCTATTGTAAAGAAGACTACGTAGCCCTTCTGTGGCACTTCTCAGGAGCGCTCCGAACTCAAAGGCGCAGCTGTTACGACTGGGTCGTGGGCAGTCTGACCTAGTAGTCGGCGCCAGCGTCTGAAGTCACAAGTTGGGAAGCAGGGTCAGGAGACCAGAGGGGCAGGGCAGGAGACAAACTGGAGGTCGGGAACTACAAGCCAGGCACCAGGAGCTGAGCTGGGTCGGGATGCCAGGCAAGGGGAGGGTTGGAACGTGGCTGCATCTGTGAACCTTGTGGGCCCAGGTTCGAGACCTGGTGCAGGGGACTTGCATCTGAGCTGCAGAGCCGTTTGCAGCTGGCTTGGCCTGCACCCAAGGTTAGAAGCTGTTACCAGCGGATGGCGCGGTCAGTGGGTTTTCTGGGTCTCTGTCCGGTTCTAGCGGCTCACGAGTCATTAAGTCTCCAGGTTGCTCTGGTCCTGGCAGAGTGTGGGAGAGAAGCTGGCCTGGCTGTTGGGACTTCGTTCTCCAGTGGTTTTTAACTTTGGGATGGTTGTTTGAGTCCAAACCCTATTGTTTGTTGTTACTGTAGCACTGGGAGCCCCCGTCGTGGATCAGGGCCCCGCTGTGCCAGGCGCTGCACGAACGCAGAGCAAAAAAACCTGTTCATGCTCCTCTTATCCATTTACACGTTCTGGACCTGCACGGGTTAAAACCAACGGGCTCCGTGTGCATATTTCTGGGCAAAATTTCTAGTCGAGCGTAACCTCTTTGGAGCAGGGGCTGCATGTGTACAGCTCCAAGCACGCCAGGGGCCTGCTCCGGGTCAGAGGTTAAATAATAATAATAGTCCTTGAAAAGCACCATTTTCGTGTTGAAAAATGTTGTGATCCTTTCTTCCCTCCCCTCCCCCATTTTGCCAGGTACTGCGGTTACATCAAGGGCATCTACGGAGACAACGCTGCCGCCGCCTACTTCGTCCTGTCCCACAGAGGAAGAGTGAGGTATTGACGCTCTCAGCCAAGCCTCGGGGATGTGGGTCTGGCCTGGGAATCTCCTTGGCAAAGTCCCGGTTCTTCAGTTCTCCTACTGCTGGTGTTTCTCCTTCCAGGTTTCAAGGCCAGGAGACCTGGTTGTGTGTGGACCGGCGCGGGAATTTCAGCTACGATTTCGTAGAGCTCCAAGACGTGCCTGTGGTGGCCATCGACCTCGCGGGCTCTGTGTTGAACTACAACGGGCTGGATAACCTAGGTGAGAAATCGATGGACTTCCGCAGAGGGCATTTGTCTGGGGGATCTTTGGCGCAGCTGAGGGCGCTCTGAAGCGCAGAAATGCTAGGGCTCAGAGAGTGGCTTTTCTTGTGGAGGAGGCAGTGCGGGCTAGTGGATAGAGCCCCCGACTGGGACTCAGGAGACCTGGGTTCTGTTCCCAGCTCTGCTGCTGTGTTGGTGCCTCCATTTCCCCATCTGTAAAATGGGAATCGTGATCCCGACCTCCTTTGTAAAGAGCTTTGAGATCAAAGGATGAAGCCGGGGGTGATAAGTTTTGCTGATTTCCCTCATCCCAGAGCTCTTGAATGTCCCCAGGACACCTCCGTGGAGTGAGCGCTTCTCAGGCCACAAACAGTTAACCTGTGGAACTCACTGCTGCAGGATATCCTTGGAAGAACTAGATTAGTACATTTGAGAAAAGATTAGACATTTACTGTAACAGCAGCGGAAATGCTTCTCTCCTCTGAGAATCCCAGGGTGCTATCATTATTCATTTATACGACAGTAGTGCCTAGGCACCTGCGCCAGGGCCCAGGTCCCCATGGTGCTAGACGCTGTACAAACACACAGGCGATCTCTGCCCCATAGAGCATATGGTCTAATTTGTAGACCGTATTGGGAGGAGTGGATTGCTAGTTGGAGGCAGAGACTGTCCGTCCCTTCTTGTCTTTAAGGCTGGTACTGAAAGGTTCAGACAGCGGCCGTGTGTCAGGGAAGTGACAGGCCAGGCCATTTTCATACTAACTAATCCCAGGGTGCCGTACTGATGCTGGATGATTCGGGGACGTACCAATCTATTTATCTGCTGATGTGATTCCCAGCCTGGCGCTGGGGCCACAAGGGCTAATGCTGTCGTGGGCTGCATAAACCGGGGAATCTCCCGTCGGAGCAGAGCGGTTATTTTCCCCGTGTCTGGCCCTGGCGTGACCACTGCTGGGACCCAGCGTCCCCTTCTGGTGCCCACCAGTCAGGAAGGAGGTTGATCAATGGGAGAGGGGTCCCCAAAGAGGCCAAGAGAACGATCGAAGGGTTAGAAAACCTGCCTTGGAGTGACAGACTCTCTGATCTCGGCCTATTGAGCTTAACAAAGAGAAGGTTCAGAGGTGTTGCCGTTAGCCTGTAAGTATCTATACGGGAAGCGGCGATTTCATAACGAGCTCTTCAATCTCGCTGAGGAAGGTGGGACACGGCCCGTGGTTGGACGTTGAAACCAGATGAATTCAGCCTGGAACGGAGGTGTGGATTTGTCACAGGGAGGGTAATTTACTAGAGCAGTTTCCCAAGTGGGGGTGTTGGATTCTCCAGCCCTGCTCATTTTGAAGTCCAGGTGGTGTGTGTGTTTAAAGGCTCTGCCGTTTTCTGGCCCGTGGCACGCGGAAGGTCAGACCAGCTGATCACACGCTCTCTTACAATCTAGTCATCCGTTTCAGCATCACCATTTTTGAGCTGTTGAAATCCACTTTGGCCTTTGCCTTCATGCTTCCTGTGCCTTTTAATATTTTATCCCGTGCCCTGGCTGGGAGCCCGTCCGAGGCAGTAATGTAGCGGGCTCCTCTCTGGGCTCACAATGGAGACATCGCGTTCTTAATGGACAAGGGGAAGCCAAGGAAGGTGGAGGTTGAGGATCTGGGTAAACTCTGGTGCTGAGGGTTTCTTAGGCTGAGAAATCGTCTTCCACGGGAAGTGGCTGTAACCTGCCTGCCGGAGTCGCTGGCCAGAACCCCAGAGAGCAAAGAAGGGTGAGGTGGGGAGAAAAGCCCTTTTCTCTTCTCTGATTTCCGGGAGGTCACTGCTGTGTCTGGCTTAGCATTCTCCTGCTCTTACAACTTGGGTGCTGTCGTTGTAGTAGCTCCGCAAAGACCCATTTCACAGGCCAGCGATCCCTGTCCTGACTCATTTGTCTAAGAACCCGATTCCCCCGGTGTTTGCCTTGTACCCGTCTTTTCCGCGAGTGGCCGGGGCCACGATCCCGCGGCTGGTGCGTGTTGGTCCCGGCGTCTGCCGTGGTGGATCCAAAGGCAGGCCTGGAGCCATGGTGTGCGGCTGGGTGGCCCGTTGCCTGGTGCTTGGACTAGCTTTAGTAAATTGCAGGTGCTTTTGCCTTCCGGGCAGTTCCCGGTGGCTGTGTTGAAGGGGTGTGTACCTCGCTGTGAGAGCCTTCGTAACGCACGGCTGGAGGGAGGGCGTGTCCATTTCCTGGCAATCGGAAGCAGCTGCTATCTCAGGCAATGATTTGATTAACCTAATCCATCCGTCTGCATTAGTCTGAAATAATCAGATGTGTCCAAAGACACAAAGCTGCCATCTGTGGAGACCAGGTCTCAGGTTACACAGAGATCCGGTGTTTAGCGGTCACTTTGGGACTGATCTTGTTGAGGACTCATTATTGCCAGCGAGTCTGGCAAGGTTTGGTGATGTCCTTAAAGCCCCAGCGCCTGGAGTCCTGTGAGTACATGAGCCCCTCAGGGTGTGTCCACACTGCAAAGGAGAACCCGTGGTGCTGAATCTCAGAGCCTGGGTCAACTGACTTGGGCTCATGCTGAGGGGTTAAAAACAGCACAGCAAACCTGGAAAGCGTGCTGCAGATCTGGGCTCCCGGCAGCGTGTCAGGTATTAAGCCAGACTGCCCTCTTCTTTAAGACCGAGAATATCTTATTGCCCTTCTATAAATCCATGGTACGCCCACATCTTGAATACTGCGTACCGATGAGGTCTCCTCATCTCAAAAAAGGTATACTGGCATTAGTTGCCCTTCTCTGAACCTTTTCTAAAATGATTAGGGGTTTGGAACGGGTCCCATAGGAGGAGAGATTAAAGAGGCTAGGACTTTTCAGCCTGGAAAAGAGGAGACTAAGGGGGATATGATAGAGGTATATAAAATCATGAGTGGTGTGGAGAAAGTAGATAAGGAAAAGTTATTTACTTATTCCCATAATACAAGAACTAGGGGCCACCAAATGAAATTAATGGACAGCAGGTTTAAAACAAATAAAAGGAAGTTCTTCACACAGCGCACAGTCAACTTGTGGAACTCCTTGCCTGAGGAGGTTGTGAAGGCTAAGACTATAACAGGGTTTAAAAGAGAACTGGATAAATTCATGGAGGTTAAGTCCATTAATGGCTATTAGCCAGGATGGGTAAGGAATGGTGTCCCTAGCCTCTGTTTGTCAGAGGGTGGAGATGGATGGCAGGAGAGTGATCACTTGATCATTACCTGTTAGGTTCACTCCCTCTGGGGCACCTGGCATTGGCCACTGTCAGAAGACAGGATACTGGGCTAGATGGACCTTTGGTCTGACCCAGTACGGCCGTTCTTATGAGGTTTGCCCCCTTGCCCATCCGGTACTGGGACAAAACCGGATGTGGTTTTGGCCAGCATTGGCCGGGGGACTTGGAGTTAAAAACATCCAGAAGGCAGGGCTATGGTGCCTGTTATGGATGCAGGGCAGAATGGCCGCGGGCCACAGCTAGGACCTCTCCTGGTTGCAATGGTGCTAAGCCACCTGGTAACCAGCAGTTTGTGCCAGTGGCTCTTCGTTTCCCCGTCCTGGTCTCCCGTCTCGCGTTAGAAGAGCTGGTTCCCCTTGTAAGGGACGCACAGCATGCTGGGCCGAAATCAGCCCTGCGGGGACTTGCCAAGACTTGAACTGGGGAGGAGTTTGACTTTTCATCAGTTTCTCGGCCGCTAGACAAAGAGGAGGCAGGAGGAGGCCGCCCCTCTTCCTTCAGCTGACGCAGCCCCCTAATTTCCGGGGGTTGGTCTCTGATTAGTGGAGCCAGGTTTGGGTTGGTCTCTGGCTGCGGGGGGGGGGAGGGGTGGATTTTCTCCACCCCTTGGCTCGTTTCTGGTTCTCGCCCACGGCCGCCGGGCCTGATTCTGTCACTTCGTGTAGTCGCAGGGGGCAGCATTTCACCCCGCTGTGTGCTGGGGAATTCGGTGCATCACTTGCACCGTCTCTGAGCGTCCCTCAGCTGAGCTCAGGAATAGGCCGTTGGCTCGTCTCCTGGTCTCTACATCACCGGGGGTCGTGGCGGCTGCGCGGTTCTGCGTGTCTCACGGGACTCGGGTTTCATTTGATCAGTTTGATGGAGAAGGTCGATTGTTATTTTTAAGCATTTTTAATTTTTTTACTGGATGTGAATGTTTACTGTTGTGGGAAACTCTGGGGGGGTCAGACAAAGCGGGGATCAGACGATGGTTACTTAATGGCAGGAAATGCTGAGATGGAAGTTAAAGCTTTAGAACCGTTAAATCACACGTTGGCAGCATCACGTGTCAAAACGGACGAAGTAACTCGCTGTCAATCGAACGCTCGAGCAGCGTTTTTCGCACTTTGCCGAGCTCTGCGTGTTGATCATCGCATCTGGTGAAATCGACCTGTGCTGATCGAAACCGAGTTCTTCCAACGCTCGAGAGAACCCAGTGCCCCGGCTTACGTCTCTCGGTGCCTCTCCTAAAAACGAGGGTTTGGTATATATTGCCCTGGAACTTGTATTTCACCCACCAGCCTCTGACCGGAGTTGCGGGAGGAGAGAGAAGGAATCGGGGCTTTCCTTGTGGATGTTGAATATCTGGCCACGTTGTAGTTCGCAGAGATTACTTTTCAGGTTGCTGGTAGCAGCCAAACGGATCTTTGAGGCCTGTGTTGCATCAAGTTACGATTCCCCACCTCCTCCACCACCCTTGGCCGGCATTTCTTCGCCTGGGCGCATAGTGGGCTCAGAGATACCAAGGCCAGAAGGGAGCATCTAGTCTGACCTCCTGTTGCAGGCCACAGACCCTCACCCACTCTGGCTGAGGAAGGGAAAACCTGCCAGGGTCTCTGCCGAGCCGACCTGGTGGTGGTGGTGGAGGATTCCTTCCTGACCCCAAATCTGGCGATCAGTTAGACCTGGAGCATGTGGGTGAGACCCGCCAGCCAGACACCTGGGGAAGAATTAGCTCACAGCCCTCCCTGTCTAGTGCCCCGTCTCCGGCCGTTGGACCTATTCGCTGCTAGGCCCTGGAGTGCACGTTCAGGCGACAGACAAAAGGGGCGGGTTTCCAGAGCGGCTGAGCGCCTGCCGTTGCTGGGGCGCGGGCGCCGGGCGAGAGGTAGGTTGGGAAGCGCCACCTCCTGTGGGAGGAGGCAAAATTCAAGTTCCGGGGGTCACCTTGGAAGAACTCACTAAGGGCGGGTAACGAGATTGGGGCTGGGGGGGGGGGAGCTGGCCGGCTGCCACCAGGCTTGGGGTCCCCGGCTCCATCCTCCTTTCCCTTTCCGCACCTGCAGTGAAGCTGACGGCGCTGAAATCCCTGGACCTGAGCCGCTGCCCCCACGTTGACGACTGGACCCTAACCCGGCTGCAGGTCTTCAAGGACAGCCTGGAGGAGCTCTCGCTGGCTGGGTGCCCCCAGGTCACGGAGCGGGGGCTGGCTTGTCTCCACCTACTCGAGTGAGTGGTCAGAGCGTGGGGTGGGGAATCGGGGCACCTGGGTTCGGAGGCTGGCTTTAGGATGGAGGGGAGGGCTAGGGGTTAGAGCAGGGACGCCCGGGTTCTACCCTCAGCTCTAGGAAGGGAGTGGGGTCTAGTGGTTAGAGCAGGGGAGAGTCAGAACTCCTGGGCGCTATCCCTCACTTTCACTATCGCTCTGTGCCTCAGTTTCTCTCTCTGGGAGGGAGGGCGTTGTGGTGGAGCTGTGCGGCCCGGCTAATTAGCCATAAAGGGTTTTGAGCTGCTCGGGTGAGTGCGCTGGGGAAGAGCCCGGGAGCGTGATGGTTATTCCTGCCCCGCCCCTGGACACTCTCTTCCCTTGCGTCGAGCATCCGTTGAGGGGAGGACGTGGGCTTATGGGCCAGCGGCGCTTGGCGAGAGGATGGGGGCGGCGGGGGCTGGGTGGGTCTCGAGCTGAGTCAGTCTGTCGCACAGAGGAGCTGGGATATTAGGAGCAGCGTTGCTCTGTTTCGTTCTTACCCCTTCTCCCCGTCACCCTCCCCAGGAACCTACGGCGCCTCGACCTCTCGCACCTGCCCTCAGTGCCCACCCCAGGGCTGATCCGGATCTTGGTGGAGGAGATGCTGCCCCGGTGCGAGGTGGTGGGGCTGGCCCCGGCTGCTGGTGCCCAGACGAGCAGGGACGGAAGGGAGGAGCCCGGCGTCCCCAGCGGGGACAGGAGAGCTGGGGAGATCCCTGCCTGATGCCTGGGTGCCCTGACACTGATCGACGAGGGCGGGAAGAGATGGCCGCAAGCCGCGCTCCCCTCAGCACTCTCCGATCACGGACCGCGAAGGACCCCAGCGTCGCCGTAGACTTGTGGGTGTGGCTGGGCGGTCCGTGCCCCCCCCCGCTTTGGTCTCCCGTAGGACAGGGCTTGCAATCGGCAGAACGGCGCTGTGGTCATTAAAGGCCTCTCCCTGCGCTGCTCTCGCGTCCTTGTTTGCGGGGAGAGGCCCGAGTGGCAGGAGAACTTGGGGATGGAAGCGGCCGGGAGGCTGGGGGCCTTTGCAGCTCAGCGGGCGAACCCCCCGGCTGGGGTGGTTTGGTTTGGGCGGCGTCGGGGCCGGCCGGGAGCCTGGAACGGCTCGAAGGGACCTGGGAGAAGGGAAGATTTTTTTGCTTTGGGCCGAGAAAGTTCTCGGAGCACAACCGTGCGGCATTTATTGCACCCGGCGCGCTGGGGGGGAGAGGTACTTTGGAGCCTCCCGGCGCGCTGGACGGGCCCCGAAGAAGAGCTCAGTGTTCGCTCCAACGCGGGTCCAACACCAGCTCTGATTTCCCCTCCCTGTCCCTCCAGCCAGGGCTCCGATCCCTGGTGCCCGTCGCCCGGCATGGTGCCGCCGGCAGGACGGCGCCTGGGGAGAAGCGTCTCTCGCCTGCCCCTGCCAGGTGGCCGGGCCGCGCGCCAGCCGCAGCGGGTGACGAATGATCTGTCCACGTGTCTCTGCCCCCGAGGGAGCCCATTAGCTGCTGGAAAGCTTCTGTTCCCTGTTAGCTTTTGTCTCGGGCATCAGCTGCCCAAGGGAGCTGCCTGCTGGGTGCCTGGCGCCTGCGTGCCGAGCCTGGCGCAGGCTTGGGGGTGGGTTCTGAAAGCCCTTGGGCGTTTTTGCAGCTGGTGGTTTGGGGTTTGAGTGGAGGAGCCTGGAGCGCGTCCAGCAGCTCGCGCCCGGGGGAAAGGGGCTGGCACGGTCCTGCCGCTCGGTCTGTGGCGGTGGCTGGGGGCACCCGACCCCAGAGTCTCTGAGCCTCACCACAGCCCCCTCGTGAGCACCCTGGGCCCAGCAAGGAGTGATTTGTTGAGTCCGTTCTCAAGCTGGGGAGAGAACCCAGGAGTCCTGGCTTCCAGCCTCCCCTGCTCTAACCACTAGACCCCACTCCCCTCCCAGAGCTGGGGATGGAACCCAGGAGTCCTGGCTCCCAGCCCCCTCCCCCCCCACCAGCCAAGGCAGAACTAGACACCGCTGGCTCCGGCGGAGGGGAAGCGTTGACAGGCTGTTTATTTTTAGCAGCAGGTTCCTGGTTCAAGCCCTGTTATCGCCTCCGGGTGCCTGTCTGGCCGGAGCCCAGGCCGGGAGCGATCGCTGCCCCCCGGGTGCCTCAGCCCCTGGCCTCCTAACTCACCTCCCGACGCTGGGGCCCGGGGGGTTGTGGGTGGGGGAGGAGGGAGCCCAGCCTGCCCCCGGCCAGCGCGTCGTCCTTTCCTTGGCAGGGGGTTTGGGGGCTGATCCTGCGTCGGTTTGGCGGTGGGGGGCCGGGCTGCGTTAGAAGGAAGGGGGGCGGTGTTTCCTGCGGGATGTCGGCTGCCTCACCCCCCCTGGGGCGAAGGGGCCGCCAGGTTGTCCTCACCTGGCCTGTACGGCCAGTTGGACCTGCTGGGTCACCCCACGGCCCCTGTGGCACGACGCCTGTTTGGCCCAAGTCTCTCACCCCCCCGCTCTGGATTTGAAGCCCTCAGGGGCTGGAGAACAGGCTGGGTCAGGGTCCTGTCTCTGACCGTGCCCGCCGCTGGCCGCTTCAGAGGGAATGACCAGAACAGGGCAGTTAGCGAGTGACCCGGCCCCTGATGTCCAGTCCCAGCTGGGGGCAGCCTGAGGCTTGGGGACACCCAAAGCACGGGCCTACCTCCCTGACCATCGTGGCTAAGAGCCGTGCATGGCCCTGCCCTCCAGGAACTGATCTCGTTCTTCTTTGAACCCAGTTCTACCTCCCATCATCCCCTGGCGAGGAGTTCTGCAGGTTGTCGGGTGAAGTCAGTCCCCCGGTTCGCTTTCAAGCTGCTGCCTGTTCGTGGCCCGGGTGACGCCGGCGGGTGTGTTCGGGGAAGTCAGATGTCCCTACTCGCAATTTCACAGCCCTTCCTCCCGCCCCCCTCAGGGCTTCGGTGCCGCTTCACACGCTTCGACGGCACGGCTGCAGTGTGGACGCTCGCTGCCGCCACGGGAGGGTTCTCCCAGCACCGGTGTTCATCCGTCTGTCCCCGCCCTGGCGCTGGCCACACGAGCTCTCTTGGGGGGCGAGCGACAGGCTGGGCTGCTCCGTGGGCCCCAGCCTGGACCCGTAGGATTCTCCTGCTGTGGCCCCCTGGGCTTTGCAAAGGGCAGGTTGTGGGCCGCCTGCCGTGCGGGGGGGTGTCATGGGGGAGGTATCAAAGGCCGGGGGGGGCTAAGCCTCCCCCACGCTGCCCCTCACCCCTGAAGCTGTCGGGGGCTGGGCCAGGGGCTGGGAGGGCTCTGGGGTGGGGGTTCAGGGGTTCTGGCTGCGGGGGGGGGCGGTCATGGGGGGTATCAAAGGCCGGGGGGGCTAAGCCTCCCCTACGCTGCCCCTCGCTGCGGGGGGGAGGTGGTATCTCCCCGCGGTGGGAACCTCGCGCCGGCTGGTGGAGCGGGGGGCGGTTGAGACCCCAACTTCTGCACCACAAGTTGCAATCCGGAAACCTTGTGTGTGTTGTAAAGGCCGGGACCGCCCCCCCCCCCCACTTCCTCTTTCTCGCAGCTGCTGCAGCGTGAGAATAAACGTCGGCGTGTGCCTGGGCCCCGCCGTCAGGACCAGGGTCCCCAGGGTCCCCCTGGCCCTGCTCCGTGGGTGCCCATCGCACGTGGCCCCGGGGCGCCAGGCAGGGCCGGGGCAGGAGCAGTTTTGTAGGGGGGGGCTCGGCTGCGGCCAATTGGTTCAGCTTGACCCTGGCCAGGCCCCGGGTGCCGCCCGGGCTCTGTCATCCTCTGCTCGAGCCCTTGGCAAGCGCGCGCCTCGCTCCCTGCCTCAGTTTCCCCACAAGGCGCGGGTCCTCCTCCTCCTGCGCCGCGCGCTGTGGCAAGGCCCCGGGCTGGATTTTGACCCCCAGAAGAGAGCGGGGCCGGGGGCAGGAACCCGGCGGGACCTTCGCCGTTGCTTTGACCCGGGGACGGGCGCTGCGCCCGCCCCGGCCCGGAGGAGACTCCCGGCTCCCTGAGTGGCCAAACCCGCATCTCTCCCCGCCCCGCCCGGCGCCGGGGAAACGCGTCCAGACTAAGGGGCGGCGGGCGGCGGCCGAGGCCAAACCCGGGGGGCTGAGAGCCAAGAGGCGACCCCGGGCCGGTCCGGTCTGGGGGTGCGGACGGGGGCGGCCCCCCCGGGGCCGGAGCGTTTCCTGCAGCGCCCGGAGCCGCCTCAGCCCCATGAATATGTGATGGGGGATGAAGAGCTCCGGGGAGCGTGGCTGGGGGCCGCCCCCTTCCCTGGGCGTGGGCAGGGGCCGGGCCGGGGCGCTTCCTGCCCACGGGCGGGGCCGGGTTCGCCTGGCTCGGCAGAACCACCGCGGATCCCGGGGCCGCCTCCGAGCCGAGCCGGCGGATTCGGGCACGAGCGAGTGGGGGGCCCGGGCCGGGGCCGGGGCCGGGGAGAGGCGCCGCGTCGCCCGGAGGTGAGAGCAGAGCAGAGCGGGGCGGGGCGGGGCGGGGGCCCGGGGCTCGCAGCCCCCCGACCGCGGGGCGGGAAGAGGATGGACCGGGCGGGAGCTCGGGGGCCGCCGTGGGAGAGGAGAGAAGCGGTCGAGAAACCCGGAGGGAAACTGAGGCCCGACCATGGCCCCTCTCCGTGGGCTCCCGGCAGAAAGGACCCCCCCCCCTCGGCCTGGCGCTCGCATGGGGCCGGGCTGGTCCTGTCCCGGGCCGGGCCCTTGGGGGGGCTGCGGGCAGCGGCTGGTGCGGCTTTGAGCCGGGGGAAGGAGCTACCCCCCCTCGCCACACCCCAAAGCTTCACTTTGAATCCGCCCCCCCCCCCCGCCAGCTGAGCAGGAAGATTGGGTTAGCCCTGCTCGGGGGGGGGGGCTGAGACCTGCTCCCCAGCACCCCAGGGCTGCATCAGCGTCCCTACAGCCCCCCAGCTGTGCCCCTACCCCTCACTCCAGACCCGCAGCCCCTGCTAGCCCAGCCCTGCCCCCCCCCCAGCCCTGCCGGTGCCCCTCACTCCCGACCCGCAGCCCCTGCCAGCCCAGCCCTGCCGGTGCCCCTCACTCCTGACCCGCAGCCCCTGCCAGCCCAGCCCCCCCCAGCTCTGCCGGTGC